ACATGTTACCCCGTGCAAAATTCCCCTATTGGATCGGTCTCCGAAGAGTGTATTCCTACTCAAGGCCATTACATCAGGAAATTATCCCAAGAGTTTAAAGTACCTGTTCTACTTTTTTCAATGAGCTAATAAGGGCTATGCTCTATAGGGTCCAATGGCCAAAACACCTTGTTCATTCCTCTTTATCCCATTATTGGGTTTTCTTTCTATTTAAAAACTTATAGTAAGCATTGGAATATTTTAACAATTATTTAATGGCAGTGGCTTCTACATCGATGTTATTGTATATGGATTGGATTAGGACAATACTGTGGGGCGGATGCAGGGGGAGTGCAGATGGTGCAATCGCACCCCCCTAAATTGTATTAAGAAAAATAATTCTTGTATTGTATTGTTGGTATGAACATAGGCCTACAGTAGTACCAGTAAGAATTTAAAGTTATGATGTGAGTGCAATTTCTGGGCACCAAGTCCAAAATGTTTATACCTCAACCCTAACCATGGTGGGGCTGAGGTTGTGTTGATTGTCATGCACCCGCTAAAGCCAAATGCTGCATCTGCCCCAGATACTGACCTGTGTAATATTAACCACTGCATATTTTAATATGGTCAGAAATATAGAAGTGTGTATTTTTGTAAGTAGATTAAAAAAAAACATTCCAAAAGTCAACCTGATACATGTTTTAAACTATGTATTTCAATAATTTATAAATATCTTTGTAAGGTGAAGCCTTGATTTTCTTTTAAAATATATTACAAATCCTTTCTTAACTACACAGTGTAATATTAAATGCTTTATGTTAGCCTCTTTTGTTCTTTAAACTTACTTTTTCCTAATTAAAAAAAAAATTGCAGTTAAAACTGGTGCTATTAAAAACTACATAGGAAGATTAGGCAAGACTTTTTTTATTTTTTGTTTCACATACTTATATTTTTAAAGATCATCGGAGGAGGGCAGAATAAAAATAAAATTTTGTTTTCTTTAGCAAATAGTTTTGCCAAAAACATCCAGATGGAGGAGAAAATAAAAATAAAATTTTATTGGTGAATGTAAAATGGGATAGTTAAATGCTTTAAACTTATATAATTAGGAAGAAAAATACATATTTTATCTTTGGAGATTTCAAATTAGCGGAAGGCGTAATAAAAATTGTTAAATTTTTTTTTTTAATTTACATTTTTTGTGGCAGCGGGTGCGCTAATTGGCCAAAAATAATATTTTATTTTTATTTGAAATCATCAATATTTGCAGTCGGCAGGTTTGCTAAACAAGGTATAAAAAGGTGTCCCCTTAATGTTGTTAGAGGGATGGTTGGCTGTGTTTATTTTGAAAATGATCTAACACATGGTGCAGTGCATTGCATACGACTGCTAGTCATACTGTAAATAGTTGAAGCATTTTTTTGGTAACATTTTTATTGATAGTAGTAAATTATTTCATTTTCATCAAATATTTTATTTCTATTAAAGCTAGATCTCACGTAAAAATACCATTATGTAGATAATATGTAAATTATTATTGAATAACTTCTCTAGTACACTATGTGTTAGAATATAAAGTAACCTTGACTTTTTTTACTGAGATTACTCACCGAAAGCATGGTATTTAGGTCACAAATAGAATACAAAATTTGAAACAAAAACAACTGCCTTCCCAAAAAGGCTGAGTTATCATGGTACTGTTTAAAGTAAGTATTTAGACTTCTAGTAAATGTTGAAGCATCCTGTCAAGTGTACGCATTTACACCCCTGTCATAAATACTGGTTTCATAAAATTGCTACATAACATGCTGTCGCCAAATGTGCAATTTTGTATTGCCGTATGTTCAATATTAAATATTTTTATAATAAAGAACATACTAAGCGCAGATCTATATGTTAATTTGTTCAAAGTTTATATTTTCTTCTTTTATATTTACGGTAGCAAAGTATGTTTTTGTTTTTATTTATTTTACAGTCCTAGAGAAGTAATGCTTCTTAAAGTATCTTTGTGAGATACTTCTTAAAGTATCTCACAAAGAATGAAATATTTTAGGGCAAAGGACATTAAACATGTCCAGTATGTAAACTAAAATAATAAAATTATAAAATGTAAAGATTTAATAAATATGAGACACAAGATTGAAAATTTCTATATGAAGTTTTTCTATATTAAATATACATAAAATAAAATGTTTATACAAGGATTACAGGTAGAAAAGAATCTGTGACATGGACGTCCTACCAAGCACTAAAAGTGGCATAGTGACTGTGTGCTTTGGCCCAGTCCCATTCCAAATTTGCCACAGAGTGACCACGGAGAGGCCATGGGCCCTCTTCTACTCCAGCACTATTTAAAAAAAATAATTTTCGAAAAGTCGGAGAGAGACCTGGCCAGGAGGTTTTTCTATAATACGACTCAGTATTTTACGATGGAACATTGACCAGTTGTGCAATGCATGTGTGCTTTCTGAGGCCAAAGCTCAGTTGCAAGTCCAAATGAGCACTGTAGAGGCCAGAGAGTCCATCTAGACTTGCCACTACCCAGCACTCTAATACGACGCTTTTGACAATGGTATATTTTCTTTTAATTTTAAACAAATCCCTACCCACCTTAGAATCTGTCTCCGTCCTAAATCATCAATAAAGAATTAAGTCGTGATTACCCATCATAGACCTAACGTGAAAACATTATTCATAACACGTTAACATCGAAACAATGGCAATAGCTTGGTTTGGAGTATATACCGTACCGCGCTTCCCTCTTTCTGGACCTCTTTGTTTTCACCTCTCTTTTTTCTGTGGGGGTGGGGATCATCTAGCCCCCGTGCTATCTGGACGATTGATTGAATGATTGTTTGATAGTTTTTATTTATATTGGCTCCATTGCGAAAATCAATACATTCATGTGTGTATCGTACATTAGCTTATAGCAAATTACGATCAAAAACAGGAAGTCGTCTTATAGTTGCAACACATACACATTTTTTATTTTTTAAATCATTTTTTTATGTGCGGATAGTCCATAACACGCAACTTTACTACTGGAATTTTATTCTACTGTTAGTAGGCCTTATAACTATATTTAATATTTAATGCGGGGAAATAGGATTTTGATGAACATTTAAAAGCCCATTTAGTGGTACTATTTGGAAGATCGGAAGCCCTACATTTTGATGTTTTTAACTAGCTAGATCCAGTGTCAAGACCATAAAGAGGATCAAAAAGTATGAATTCCCGGCAACGGTGAAACAGGTAAGGGGTCGTCGTTTTGTGGCTACTTTTACTCAAAGCTCATCCACGCTTTCTGTCTAGGCAGGTCATCGTCTGTCAGACTGACAATTGACAATTCTGGCAGCGTCGCGTGTTAGTATTAATATTATTTTATTGTAGCAAATTGTTAAACTCCTGCACGATTATAACGAAACGGTTATAGATTTAGGCCCTATGCATTTTCTGGAGTGATTATAGTTGATTACAATACTTGATGTTTCCATTTTTTAATTATTATTTTCCAGTTATTGATATGCAAATAAGTTGATATGTCTCAATGCACATACTGAATTGGGCGTGTCGCAACATAGCGTCCAAATGTATTGGAAATTCCCAACCTAAACATTATCATCACATTATTATTTTTTTCCTTCGGCGTTGCTTTTGTTTCCTCATGCTGTTCGAATCGTTTTTATTCACCTGTTGGTTCTTTACTAAAAAGTGATTAACTTGACTCTACTTGAGGTAGGTTTATCCATGGAGGAAAGAAATCCTCCATGGTTTATCTTTAATACCGTAATTATCAGACTCCATAATAATAGAACGCAACGGAAGGAAGCGCGCGCAACATCGTTCAAAATGTTGCCGACAATCAGCAGTTAGTCAACTGTAATCAAGCCTTAGTGATCGCTCGAAAACTTAAAACAGGTAAAATATTCTGACAAAACAACAAGGCATATAGGCCTACACCCAGAGTCTTCTGAAGGTGCAAACAAATCATTATATTTAAACACATGACAGAGGTAAAACGTTACAAGACCAAAGCTTCATTAAATAGTATAAGCACTAAAAATACTAGCTTTTAAATAGTAATGAACAATATGAACATTAATATACAAATTTATATATACTATAGTGACAATAATAATGGAATGATAATAAATTGTGATAATGACGACGTTGATGATGATGACTGATGATGAGGCTGATATACTGATAATAAGTAGTAAATTAATATTAAATTAGCAATAATAGTAATAATGAAATTGATATAAATAATCATAAACAATGTAAAACACTATTTTCCGCCATTTGACAAATCAGACTCGATTGTTTACATGTTGCCTAGCTACCAACAAAAGGTGAGAGGAGACGTTATCGATTGCATGGACGCTTCGAATCTTCAGTCTGGGATGTTGTTCAGGAGGAATTTTATAATTAATAGAATTAATTTTCCCTCGCGATGCATGGGTGTCGATCGGTGGGGACACGTCCCCATTTTCCAAGTAGGAGGGACATCATATCATTTGTCCTCCCCCTCCCCACTTTTCTCCAATCTTCTAAGATTAAAACCCCACTTTTTAAAAGCGGGTGGAAAGGATAACAATTACGCATTACTGTCATGAATTTTGTCTGTTCACTTGCTCTTTTCCAAGTGCGGTGCGTATTTCCGGACCAAACACAGTAAAAACGCAATTGTTTGCACATTTCGTAACCATCTCAGTAACCACTCCATAGATTTCATGGGTGCAACGGTTACCAGAGGCTAAATTTATTGTGAAAACGATGTACTGAACGTTGTTAAAATTTGGAAGTGTGTAAACCTATTAGGCCAATATTTCTACAAACTGAAAAGTGCACAATTTCTATATAAATATGAAAGATGAAAATGATATTAAAAGACAGAAAGGGGTAATGTTCTTCGTAGCAAATTCAAAAAATGCTCTGATGATGTCAAATGTTTATTATTTAAGAATTACTGCGTAAATATGTACTGCGTCTCATTGGGCAAGTTACAATGTATCTACTATTAGATCTTTGGAAGTTTGCTATAATAATGCATTTCGAATGTTTTTGAAGTTACCGCGTTTCTGCAGTCCTAGTGAAATGTTTGTGTCTAGAAATATTCCCTCTTTCTATGAATTTATTAGAAAATCCGTTTTTTGAATTTAGGAGAAGGATCACAAATAGTTGCAACAAGTTAGTTGATACTGTACCACAGCACATTCTTAAAAGCTCCAAGCTTTATCTGAAATGGAATAACTTGCTGTATTAATTTCTTCTTTTCTTTTTGTAATCATCTTATTGTAACTGGTAATTGTAAGTATATGGATATATTTCCGAAATAAAAAGAGAATGAATGATACATTCCTGTTTTTTTTTTAATTTCAAAAAATTATAGTTAGTCAATTGAATTTTACATAGCCGTTATTAAACAATAATCATACAGCCTTTGACACGGACCGTCTATCTATTTCGATATGTATAAGTAGTGATACCACAACTTTACAAATTCCAACGTTACGTGATGCAAACTCGCAATGACAGCGGAGGTGGAAATTCCAAATCCTAACTACTATAACAATGTAACATATGGGATTTGCCAACACAATGAGTGAGAGTTGTAAGTTTGTTAAATACAACATTTCATTTTACACCTTTTTATAATCATCAAGTAATCCATGCAGACTTTTTTTTTCAGGTCAAGTGGAATCAATGAGAATCACCGGTCATCATGTCTACACCATACGGTGTGTTGATGGGAAACCTGAATAACGCCATAAGTAAACGTAAAGTGTGCACTATGATCGTGAATGTCTTCAATTATGTATTGGGCATCAACATTGCATGGTATAATGTTAATATTTCCCCTTCACACACACACAAAAGTTTCACTGCAACCATTTTTGTACCAAACGAATTTTGTCAAAATCTAGCAGTGATCACCCTTAACGAGTCAATGCTACCTTATGGATTGATAAAGGAAGGGCAAAGGCTAATAATAGACTATTTTTGGGGCAATAAGGGACAAAATGGTGGGACAGTGCTAACTACTCGAACAGAAATTAATTATAAGAAGAGAAAGAAGAAAAGAGAGGAAAAGAGAACAGGTAGCCAAGGCAAGAAAGGTCAGGCTCAGTCTTTTGTCATCAACAGTGCTAGTCCGGGAACTAATGAACATCAGTCTACATCAAATGAGGAAGAATTGAGCGAGGAGGAAAAAACTGACGCGAGTAATAATGGCAACTTATTGGAGTTATATAATAATGCTGATTCTATAGCAGATCAACTTGATAAAGTAGACTACTTAAAGAAAAATCAACAGCTTGGTAATGAGACTCGCAAATTGGAATTCAAGCGAGGTGATGGTAATTACCTCGGCAATACCCTGAAGTCTGTTCTTGGGACATACATGAGTGCTTTCTTGAATAGTAGCGGAGGAAGTCTACTCATCGGTGTGGACGATGGAGGTTTGTTGTAATCCAGATGATTTATGTCAGTGGTTGAAACTTGTGACCAGTGACGCAAATCAAATTATGCCGAGGCTGATGGGAAATTATGCTAAATTATGCCAAATGTTAAATTTATGCCAAATGTTATATTTCGAATAAGCGCTCCCTCCTCCGTTGTTATAACCAACTCCCTGATCAGTCTCAGCAATAGAGTATCAGCCCGAGTTTCAGTATCTTAATTTAAAACTCAGTAGTCGGTAATACACTACTCCCAGACGCATGCCTCCCGGACGGACCGAACGAACGCGAATTTTGCCTCCAGCCAAGACAGGACCGGACAGGATTGAGTACCTGGCCAAAACCATTTTCGAACCTGGCCAAAACTATTTTCAATGTGTGGTTAAAAGAAAAAAAAAACACAGAAAGGCAGCTGCAGTATGCGCATAGCATAGGATTTATTGGATACTCAATCAATGGACGAATTCATTTTTATTATGTGTATCCACGGTTATTGACGGCTGGTTTAATTCAAAGTTTTTTTTTTCTGAGGTCAAAATTATGATAAATTATGCTAAATTTTTCTAAAATTATGCCAGCACATATGCTAGATGCTAAATGAGTCTAAATTATGCCAAAGAGCATAATTATGCTAGGTCTGGTCACTATGGATTGAAATCTTGCACCACTGATGTCGTTCAGCACTTAAAGGTGGTTTCATGGTTGAACAGATTCAAATACCGCCAGATACATTGTGTAATAACATGGCCGGCGGAAGCGGGGGGTGGGGCCGGGGGCCCGGGTCCCCCACTTTTTGGCGAAAAATATATAATGTCTGGAAATTTTTGTATGATCGGAAATGCAAAAAAAAAGAAGGAGGGAAGAAGGAGGAGAAGGAGGATGGGAAAGAGAATGTTTATCCAGTTCCCGACCGAGTTACATTTTCTCGCAATTCACATTGGCGGATCTGGGGGAGGGGGTCATGGGTCCTGACCCCTCTATTGGGCAACAAAAAAAGTGGAAAAAGAAAAGAATTCTAGACCTACCTTTTCAGGACCTGTGAGCTGATTTTTCAATTTTTTTTTTTTTGTTTTTCAGGACCCGTGAGCTGATTTTTTTTTTTTTTGCTATTAGAAAATTAGAATTTTAAAGAACATAAAATTCATTAAAACACACTTCAAATGTCGGGGAAGCTCAATTCCCGCTATCTAGGAATCAAAAATTTCCAGGGGGAGAACCCCCGGACCACCCTTTCTTTTTGGGATTTATCGATTCATGGAAAAAAGAATACGCATGCAACTTCTCGAATTTTGAAGAACTTTAAAAGTCATTAATTAAAAGACATTTCAGAAGTCAGGAAAGCTCATCTCTGCCATCTAGAAATCGAAATTTTTCCGGGGAACCCGGACCCTTTATCTTTGGAGTTCATTGATTAATTGAATCATTTTCAAGGGGTTGGGGTGGGGGGAACCTTGAATTTTGAAGAATTTAAAAGTCATTAAAAGACACCACATAAGTCGGGAAAGCTCATTTCCCGCCAGCAAGGAATCAAAATTTTCCCGGGAAAGAACCACAGGACCTGCACACCCCCCCCCCCACCTTTTCTTTTTGGGATTTATCGATTCATTGAAAAACTACGTATGCAACTTACTCAATCTTTTATGTATGTATACACACTTAAGGCCTATTTACTGTATTAACAATGGGAAAAAATTATCTGACCGTTTTCAAGAGTGGAAAACCTTGAATTTTGATTAATTACTTTTATGTTCTTCAAAACTGAAGGTGTTCCCCTCTTGAAAATTATTATAATGAATCAATGAACCCAGAGAAAGGGCCGGGAGGTTCGAGTTCTTCCCGGGAAAATGTTGATTTCTAAATGGTGAACAATGAGATTTCCCGACTTCTGAAGTATTTTTTAATGACTTTAATTTAAAAGACACCTCAGAAGTCGGGAAAGCTCATTTCCCGCCTTCTAGGAATCAAAATTTTCCTGGGGAAGAACCCCCGGACCCCCCCCCCTCTTCTTTTTGGGATTCATCGATCATCGATTCATGGAAAATTCGTATGCAACTACTCATTTTTTTTAAATTGTTATGTATTATATTGTTGAGGTAGGCCAATTTCCTCTAAAAATTGCACATTTTAGGGAGTTTTGATCAATTCCGACGAAATTAGAATTAAAAAAACAAAACTTTTTCGCGCGCTTTGCGCCCATTTTTTAATGTTCAAGCTTGTGCTTGCTCTCCTTTACCTTCGAAGTTATAACACATACTCCCAAACTCAAGAAAGAAAATTTAAGATAGATCGTTTTACCTAAAAGAAGGGCCTCAATGTGTAATGATGTTGAAAGAATATGTTTGTAATAAATAAAGCCATAAGGAAAATGCTTATATTCTAAGGAAAATGCTTATATTCAGTTTAAAAAAACGAGTGTGGCCATATATAACATAAGAGCATTTCTTGTTGAGGTAGGCCAATTTCCTCTAAAAATTGCACATTTAGGGAGTTTGGATCAATTCCGACGAAATTATAATTAAAAACACACCCCTTTTCATGGTTTTACTCCCTTTCTCCGAAACTACACCCTTCTACATACCTACTGTCTTACACATCCCCATCTCTTCAATCACAAAATGATTAAAGCACCACAAAAACTCACACCTTCACTTCTTGGACATTGAACTTTAAGATGTGTAAAATAATTATAATGATGGAACTGACAGTGGTAACACCATAATACAACAATATGTCCTCCTTTTGTTTATTGCCTGGTGATATATCAATCAGTATCACAAAAACCAAGAACTGACTATAAGAAAAGAAGCTTATCATATACTGTAGGGGTGCAAAAATCTGGAATGATGTTGGTGAAGACCTAAAAAATGTTATTAAATGTCAATTTATTTTTTAAAATGTTTATTGCTACCAGGTAAACACATTCTTTGTGATATTGTATTCCTGTTCATTAGTTTTTGATTTTGATATTAAGTTTAGTTTTTAAATTTCTGTTAAGTACCTTTTGCTAATTTTTTTATTTTATCATGTAGATGGGTGACAGGCATTTTGTAACCAGGATGTTTCATAACACTATACTGCAGGTGCTTCGCAATCTGGACATTTTGTAACCAAGGCATTTCAGGTCTCAAAATGTCCAGGTTGCAAGGTACCAGTGGTGGAGTCGCTGGGGGTCTGGGTTACAGAATGTCAACATTTACATATAGGAATATATAGGCATATATATGTATATACACATATATAATTATGTATGAGTATGTATACAAGCCTTTAAGAAGGTACTTTGCGTGAAATTTGTAGTTCTTTTTTTTTAGAAACATAAAGAAGAATTAGAGAGAAAAGAAGCGGATTTTAAGAAACAGATTGAACGTCTGGAATATCAATTGGTAATATTATATATTATTCTTTATATCTCCCTATTTGAGATATGTTACTATTCAAAAAATGTTAAGTTTCATCTTTACGCTGATGATATTCAGATTTTTCTTCCCTATGACCCCAATGCTGAAAAACTTTTAATTTTGAAAAGCTTCAATGCTGTTTAACCGAAATTCAAACATGGATGTTTCACAATATGCTCAATCTTTCCAAAAAAAAGACAATTTTCTTCACTCCGATTTGGTAATATTGCCAATCCTCTTCCATTCTGTAGTTTACTTGATGAATCTCTTACTTTTTTGCATTTTGTCTCCTCCTTTTTGTATATTCGCAACCTTTGGCGAATCTGCAAGACCTCTATTCCAAATCAACTGAAAAACTTCTTGCATTTATTCTATTTGGATTAATTATAACTCTTCGTTTATTACAGTAAGTTCAGAACTCTGCTGCCCGAATTTGATTTTTTATTACTAGTCAACAACACATTAAACCCATCCTATATGATTTACATTGGGTCCCTGTTAAAGAAAGAATTGCATTTAAACTATATACTTTTACTTGTCTTCAAGCCACTCTCATACAATCATCAACCATACAGCCATAATATCGCCTATGGTTCCCGTGGTGGAACAATTCTTCTCGGAAGGACTCTAAACCGTAGGCCCAGTGTACACAATTGACTCGTGTGCACTTTAAAGAACCCAGTACATCATTCGAGAAGAGCAGGCCGGGGGTTACCCCGGTGTACTGGTCCATTTCCAGGCCCGTAGCCAGGTTTTTTCAAGTTTTAGGGGGGGGGGGGGGGGGGGGGGGTTCTGGGCGTAAGGTCCACAGTCGAAGCCCCGGTGGGGTCGGCGAAATCCCCAAAGCAAAAGGATTTTCGTGCTTTATGAGTCTAAATAATGACATAAAAGCAGATATGTTTGAAAATGTCTGTGTCTGGGTGGGTCTACAGTGCATTAGTTGGGTTGGAGGACTTATTTGGGAAATTTAAAGAGGGGGTTTCGCCAGAAAAGAGGGGGGTTTTCTACAAAAGAGGGGTTCTCCCGAACATAAACCCCCCTGAATACGGGCCTGATTTCCAGCCCCGTCCGGTCACAGAAGGAGCGTTTACGTCGCGGCCCATGTCAGGTATGCATCCACCTGCTTCTCCATCACCACATTACGTAAGCGAGATGATACACACTAGCTACGTAGTGACTCGATAAGAAGAACAACCATCGCATTTTTTGGAGTTCCTTACCTCCTATGTTCCCTCCGTCAGTGGTGTAACAGGCGGGGCAGGGGGGTCAGCCTGCTCCGCCCCCCCCCCCCCACTGACGGTTTTTACCGGGCTGGTACCGGGCTGGTTAATAAGAGATAAGAAAGAGGGGAGAGGGAGGGAAAAAGAATGAAGGGGAAAAGAAAAGGAAAGGGAAAGGAAAAGAAAAAGAGAAGAGAAAAATAAAGACAAGAATAAAAAGGAAGATATCACAATGACGAGACTCACAACACCCTGCAACTCCTGCTCCACTTGTCCATAGCTACTTTGATCTAAGCCGCCAGATATTCTTCGCAGTGGCGTAACCACCGGGGGACAAGGGGAAAATATCCATCTGTGGAAAATCTTTCCCCACCCCTTGAAGATGCCCTTTTCACCCCCTGAAAGTGCCTAAAAATCTCAAATTTCGCGCGCTTCGTGCGCATTTCTTGTTAAAGCAGGCCAATTTCCTCTAAAAATTGCACATTTTAGGGAGTTAATTCCGAAAAAATTAGAATTAAAAACACAAAAAATGTGTGCTACGCGCGCATTTTTTACGGTTTTTTAAAGGGTTAGCCTTTTAAGTTATTTAAACACAATAGTCGCAAATCTCAAGAAAGAAAATATTAAGATAGATCGTTTTACCTAAAAGAAGGGCCCAATGTGTAACGATGGTGAAAGAATATGTTTGTAATAAATTAAGACATAATGAAAATGCTTATATTCAGTTTCAAAAAAACGTGTGTGGGTATGATAAATTACTAACCGGGAAAATTATTACCTTTGCCCCCCTGACCCAAGACCCTGTTACGCGCCTGCCTCCCATGCACTCTGTTCTACATAAACACCTTCTGCAAGTCCCTTTAGACCCACTTAAACATAAACCTAAAGCATGTGGTCAACGTTCATTTTCTGTTAGGCTCCCTTCTCTGGAACCAGTTACCAATTTCTGTTAAACATTCCTCAAATTTAGTTCTGTTTAAGAAGAATCTCAAAACTTTCTTACTTTCCAAAAATATTAATCTGGTTTATTTTTCACTTGCGACTTTGATAATTTTTTAATTGGCAAGGAAAAAATGTCTGATTATTTTTATATAATATAAAAATGTATACAATGCTTTAAAACAGGATACGCATCCATGACATTTGTATTTGTTTTTTTTTTCTTTTGTTTTTTTGTTTTTTTTTTAGAAACAGGAAGAAGAATTAGAGATAAAAGCAGCGGACTTCAAGAAACAAATCGAAAGTCTGGAATATCAATTGGTAATGTTATAAATGNNATGCAACTGTATGCAATGCTTTTAAACAGGATACTCTAGTATGCATGAAATTTGTATTTGTTCTTTAGAAGCATAAAGAAGAATTAGAGAGAAAAGAAGTGGACTTAAAGAAACAAATTGAAAGTCTGGAACGTCAATTGGTAGATGCAAATTTGAGGCACAATGGTAAACGGTCAGCGCACAAAGCCAATGGAAATAGAAAATCATCCGTGTGCGTAGTAAGTTGAGGTTTTCTGAAACAGATTATGTGAAAAATGGATGCACCTTATTGTCTCATATTTATCTCAATTCTACTGCAGCATAGCGAGGTGGGTCCTCTGGTTGAATTGACATGCTGTCATCTATTGGCTCAGCTGTTGGACAGCAGCTTAGGAATTGCGCACCTGTTTACAAATTATGATCATAACTGTTCAGCCATTGTATTAAAATCGAAGGAGGGGGATGCACTTAACAAATTCGGTTGTTAAACTACAGACCCTCTACCCTTGTCACGGATACAGGATTAATGTTAGTGGGGTCTGAGTGTATATCCACCACACCCCCACGGTTGGCGGATCCAGAGGGTGGGGGGGGGGTCCACGACGTCCGGACCCCCCTCAATTTTTGAAGTGCCCCTTTTTTTACCTGATGATAAAACGCAAACTACTGTAAAAATAAATAACTTAAAACATAAGTATTTAAATTTAAAAAAAAAATTATGATGAATAATCAATTATTCAACGAAAGGAATACATTGACATCTGGTGTTAAGTACGTCTATTTCAAACAGAGTGCATTTATTTTATTTCTGCCAGGACGTCACTTGCCCAATGTCCCCGACGACGATACCATAAGTGGGCGCGTGGTCGATGTCGCTCAAAAATGAAGATTGGTCTACTGTATTGTATTACGAATGTTAAATTATTATTTTCATTATTACTAATAGTTTCCATTGTTATTGATATTGATCTTATTTTTTATCTAAACCCTCTGTACATCTCCGATAAAACTATTTGTTTTACTTCACGTCCTGCCCCTGTTGCTACACCATCCGTGGTGCCCTTTTTTTTCCTGGACTGCCCCTTTTTTTTCTGGACCCCTCTTGTGTAAATGTCTAGATCCGCCCCTGTGGTGAACAATATTTTGGCATCTGATGCCCGAAAGTATTGCAACCTGTAGAGCCGATATTCCCCTCCAAACTGCAGTCACATAATAAGTTAGCATGGGGACAGAATCTTTGGTTGGGGCTGAGGTGAGCAGATTTTGGGAATATGGCACTTCTGCATGCCTGGATCATGCCTTGATATAGCAGCTGGCAAACCTGTACAACCTCCCTCCCCAGCCTGTACATTTGGCAGACACAAAATTAGAGAAAAGCACTATTAGAATACTATCCAAAGACAATTATTCTCTGTTATTGTTGTATATGATGTTATTGTTGCCAAAGACTTTGCACTGTGATTGTCCTTATTACAATGGTTCTAAATGTGTTTTTAAGAGAATAGTGCGTGTGTTATTTTGCTGACACGACATTAATAATAACTTAATTATATACCTTATATTATATTAGCAGATATTTACATTGCATGATAGAGGAAGTATTGCAATTGTATTTACTTGATATAGGCCTAATACCTCTTCTATACTTATGACTCTTTCCAGTGGAAGTGGTTTATCTATGTTGTTTTCAATTTTTTACATGAGAAAAATGAATTAAATATAGATTGTAGGTACAATGTGGTAGGTACAGGGTGGTAGGTACAGGGGGTAGTACTGTACCACCAAATGGTGGCATAGCACTATGAGGTACAGGGTACAAATTCGTCTGTACCATATTCAATAGGAATTTCCGAAAGAACAAATAAAGTAAACTATGAACTATAGGGTACAGGGGTATAAATTAGACTTGCTTGCATTGCAAAAAACAAAAATCACCAATCATGTTGATGAATACCTGTTACGTTTTCAACAGCAATCTACACGACATCGTGGAATTGGTTTTGTCATCCATAAGCAAGTATTTAAATATATTGATTGTTGGAATACGATAAGGCCATAAAAAAAAAAATTGTGTTGGCCTACACCTGACCAACTCAAAATTTTTACTAAAACGAAAAATATTTTTTTAATGAGCTAAAAAGGCTGGAATAGGCCTATCTTGCTCGACAGTGTTATGCGATCGTGTTGCTCTTCAATTTGTAAATCTGTTTTTACCTAATCGCAATGTTCCTATACCATGCGTCGGTTTTTACAACTTCTATAATAAACTTAGTAGAACTGTTAGAGTTCCAGCAATCTAAAAAGTACTTGTTTTGGGCGACTTTAATGTTAAACTTAGAAAATCAATTAATATTGACATGCCTAACATAGATATTTGTAGGTTCATACGGCCATTGTTTGCGTGTAATACTGCATTTAAGCATCCTACCTACCAGTTAAATGAAGAATTATAGTAGGCCTAATCCTACGACTATTTCATATTACTCTCAGATTGATTACATTATTTGTAAATCTAGATTTAAATGTACTCTAATTGATTCTCGTGCTTACAGTGGTACCTTAGTTTATAGTGATCAAATAAATTGTCTGTGCTCACTTTGATATGGGTAAACCAGTTTTTGTTTTTAAGAAATCTAAGCCTAAAAAATGTATTATTGTTATTATACAGGGAAATAGACACTGTTTAAAGATAATATTGAAAACAAATTGGACAAATTCGATGTTGACGGTGATGCGACTTTTAGAGTTAATATTTTGATGGAATGTTTGAAACCTTCAGAAAGAAATAGTTTGAGCAGAGCATTAACGAAGCAAAAACATGAAAATGATCCCCAAATAGAGGTACTTTCTAAAGAACGACATAAACTGTGCTTAGGGCCTACAGCTTCGCGAAAGTAACAAACCAAACAAAGCAAGAATTTGGTTAAAAAGAGATTAAAATACATCGAAAAAGTTAGAGCAAATCAACGAGTTCAACACATCAAAAGCGCAAATGACAGTCGCAAAATGTTTGAAGCAGTACGACAGTTTTATGTGGCAAATTCAAATGGAATCCTTGTTTTTTTTAGATGAACGTGAAGTTAACTGTGTGAGACTGGTTTGAAAAACAACTCGCATATGAAAATGTTGCGGAATACAACCTATTATCTATTATAGGGCGACCGTTACAAGATGCAATAATACCGAACATATCCGAAAAGCTTCATCTTTGACAAATGGACGTGCTTGCTCTACTGGTGGCTGTAGTTTACGGTTCCTGCCTAACAACTCGACCATTTGACTGGCCTAAGGAGTACTGTACTGAAGATTATTATGATGGAATATAGGCCTAGATCTCACGTCCGTGGGGAGACTCCTTGTTTTACACGCGAGGAACACCCTTATACAGTTCTATGAGAATTTCCATCCTTTATTGAATATAATTTCAGGATTAATGCACCTTTTAAATTTATTGTCATTTGTTACAAGACAAATCCAATGAGGAAAGGGCACTGTATTGGCACTGTCATTGTGGAGTGGGGGAGGTAGGGCTGCCCACCACACCCCTTTTGGAGAGAATACAAATTTATATTTTACTTTTTACATTAGTAGACTCTTAAATCAAATAAATAAGCCTTCCTTTACTTTAAAATTGCTTTAAGATCAGATTTCAAATAAATAAATTGCTCATATGACAGTCAAAGACTAGTATTATCTGCCCAATCATGCCAAATGTGCACATACATTGGCGCAGTTTAAGACCCTTAAAGTCTGTTATTGTAACTTAATGTGTGTGTTCAGTGTGTACATGTAATAGTTCAACATTATTCAAATGTTCATATTATTGTGTTATGTAAAGGTGGTTCAACTTCTTACAGGCTATTTGCTTTTCGTTTTATATCCTCCACCCGTATCTCAATTATTTTGTATTTATCATGATGTGTTTTTATTGTATTTTATTGATTTTGATGGAAGTAAATAAAATAAATAAATCGTATCGTATAGTATCTTCAAATACATTAGTATCTTTAATGTGCAAATGAAAAAAAAACAAAACTAAATCGCCTCCCTATACATACAAGGTCATATTTTCTTTTCAAAATTCAACATATACACACAAAATCTTAATATAGTCATATTGACATATTCAATTGCCAGGGCATATTCTATAATTTACAACAGAGAGAGGGCGACAAATATTTCTAGATTGTAAAACTAATATTAACAGACATAAGATATTTGTTTGGTAAAAAACAAATTATTTTTAAGTATTATATTTATTTTTAAAGTATTATATCTATATTACTGACTTCAGGTGTTTATATAGTGTAGTATGAGGATTGAAAAGTAAATTCTTGCATAATACTATATTAACTAAAAAGTAATTGATAGTACATTTGTTTTTGACGAGGTATAAACCTACCAAAATCAACAACTGAAGGAATAAAACCATAAATAAGGACCTGGAATATGTATACTAATTAAATTAAGTTAAATCTTGGTATTCTGCACTGTTGATAAGAATATTTCAAATACCATCACATCAAAATAATTATATATTCATTCACTCAGTTACCTGTAATTCTTTGCTGTTTAGAAACTCAGCAAGGTTAAAGGTAAAGTCAAAACCTGAGCTTAGGGGTTAAATGCCAGAATGCCCATCCCCTTTTCCTTAGCATCTGGCTAGATTGCACTGCTGATGCGAGTTTCTCACTCCTCCCGCACAAGTCTGTTTAACTTTCCAGAATACTGGTACCCATGTATTATACTCCTGGCTAAAGAGAGACAAAGTTTGTTGCCCAAAGACACAAGTGACCTGCACAGCGAGGGCTTCCAACACGCAATTTTGAAGTTGAGTCCGAAGCCACAACTTTAGTGTCAATCCCTTCCACGTAAACTCAGAAAGGAAGCCATACACGGCCTGGGCCAGACTAGAATTATAAATACTCACATGAAAATCAGTTGCATACATTCTTAATAAGAACTATAATCTATAAATGACATCAAATATATTGTTATATATATATACCATACACCTAAATATTATAAGTATTTCATTTTTATACAATGCAAAAATATAAAAATTAGATCTCACATTTTTTTTCTCAATATTTTCTCATATATCCACACACTCATAAGAATTATTATCCCAGTTCATACATGTTACACTAAACTACATATTGTTAGGTAAACCAAATTAAAAAATAATGCACAAATAAGGAACGGTAAACACAATTAATACAAACAGGTATCTCATAGAATTGAAAACAAAATGTTGAAAGAAGTAGGGACACAATTAAAAAAATATTTGTTTTTAAAAACTTACTTTTGTAACAGAGGGTCTAACTACATTACTGCTCTCTTATAAAGAGCTTCCTTTATTTATTAATTCATATAATATAATTATTTAGAACAAAATGCTCTTGGACAACTAACGCAGGACATCTTCTGGGCCATTCCATGATTTTGACCTTTAACCTTTTTGTTCAACCTACCATCTTTTTAACTATTCAAGCTGTATTCATTTTTGTATACATTATTATGTACAAAATGAAAACGAATGGCAGTAAAACGAAAATTCAAACACACTTGTTATGAATATTAAACTCACTATTAATAATATGAGCTGACCTCAATCGAAATACTATTTCCAAGAATTGACAAATCTCAACCTGATATTTTGATATTAACTTAAAATATAAATTTGTTGTGACTGAATGCAAAAGAAAACTTAAATCGAAAAAAAAAAATATAAAGGTGAGGACTAATGATTTCAAAATTGGGCAGATGGAGAGGGACAGGTAAAAGGCCACAGTTTTTACATCTATTCTAATTTGGAACTAGCAGCTGTCTGGCAATACATTCCCAAGAATCTCACTTTGTTCACAAGCTGTTATCCTCAAACCTCCTCCCCAATTTTACCAACCCAAACCCAAACTGTCTCCCAAAAAAAATATCATGACTGCAGAATAACCTTTTTGTTCAACTTACCATTTTTTTAATTATTCAAGATGTATTAATTTTTGTATACATTTTTTTGTACAAAATGCAAAGGAATGGCAGTAAAAGGAAAATTCAAACAGATTTCTTTAATCAAAATTATAAACATTAAACTCACTATTAATACTATGAGCTGTCCCCAATCGAAATACTATTTCCAAGATTTGGCAAATCTTGACCTGATTATTTTGATATTAACTTAAAATATAAATTGGTTGTGACTGAATGCAAAAGAAAACTCAAATCAAAAATAAATATAAAGGTAAGCACTAACGATTTCAAAATTGGGTGGGTGGAGGGGTACAGGTAAAAGGCCACAGTTTTGACATCTATTCTACTTTGGAACTAGCAATACATGCAGAAACTCACTTTGTTAGGAAGCTGTTATCCTCAAACCCCCATCCCAAATTTTACCTCCCCAAACCCAAACTGTCTCCAGATAAACCTATAATGACTGCTGAATAACTCCCAAACTTTTTGTGGAACTTCAGCAACAATGTCTAAGGGAGGGGTGCTGCTTGGCAGAACTGTCCACTGTGATGGAGAATTAGGCAATTGCTGCAGACCAGAGTATTGGGGTGAGCACCACCATATTTGGAGCTGAGGTAAGAATTATTGGTGTCACCTCTAGGTGGCTATAATTTTCACATATTTTTCATATTGAAAATTTAATTTTTTTTAAATTTGTTGATCATCTTTACAAAGCAACAACCAAATAAATAAAATTTCTCAGGATATACTGATAATTATTTCTATTTAAATTAAGTTCATATCATAAAGCATGACCAAATATTTGACAGAATATTTTATCATTTTTTTTTTTCATTTTTTGAAAATGTTTTTGAATATGTTTTTTCTATACACTCAAATCATTGGCAGAACAGACTGAAAAAAAACCAGGATTTTAGAATTCAAAACAAATATAATTTTTCTCTCGTACACAGATCTTAGGACATGGTTTAATTTTTTTTTAAAAGATGGAGCTGTGGAATGATATAACAGCAATAAAAATTTAACAATATTTAACCTGGTAAAAATACTATTTACAACTTAAATAAAGTATTTATTTCTAATTGTTCGGTAAGGCTCAGCACACACTGCGTCGGCAGCTGATATGGTTCCATAAAACTGCCGATAAGATTCCACAAAACCGTGACGTGACAATTCATCACACAAAGGATCTTTCTGAATGACTATTCGCTTAAAGTGCTGACCGTCGGCAGAAAGGTATTGCGTCAGTTAAGCGCTCTCATTGCGTTCCGATAATTCAAATTTGCTGACTGGTAACATAGTGCTCACAATGTTCAACACTTCTTGTTGAGTCTCTATGAAGCGTGTTTTGAGCCCGGTCATAACTTGTCATGTCTAACTCTGTCGGAATAAGTGGTAGGTACACGTCCTCTCTTTTTATGTGGGACTACGCCATTAGCAGTTTTTGATTTCTTTTTCGGCTCAAAGAGCGTGTCTTCTTCAGTATCGTCTGATTCTGAGACCATGATACTACTATTTTGCTTTCCTGGAAAAAAAAAACCATTTGATGTTAAATGTACTTTTTGGGCAAAAACAAATAAAAAATGTAAAATATGGTGGAAGAGAGCTACAGAATTAAGTTAAATATAATGGACAGACTCAGCTTTAAGTTTACTTCCTTAACCACTAAACCACAATAGTATCAAAACAAAGGAAACAGGTACTTATTGTAGAAGTTATCTTTATGCGATCAAAGGGAAAATGTATAAGGATATAAGGATATATATGCTGTACACTGGAAATGATAGTTCACTTGTTTTCAAGGACAGTTCTAGTTAGCTATTCAAATACTGATTTTGTTTGTACTAAAAATTTTAGGTTCNNNNTGGAAAGAAACGACTGTATGCCCAACTCAGTCTTATGCTACTGCAGAATAGAAAGAAAAATAATTAAAATTCAAATGAAGAAGCACAAAGGAAAAATTTTGCGAATCATTATAATTAAAAACTTGATTCATATAACAGATTTTTTAACAGATTATTTTTGCTGATTGCAAATAAATATTTTGCAGCTTTAAAAAATCATTTCACAAGAAGCAAACTAATTTTATGTGTAAAACAAAATCTTACATAAACAAGAAGCTAGACCATAAACAAACTACCTCGCCAGCACAAATATTGACACAATTAATATGCAATATGTAACACACTTTTTATTTATCATTTGAAATCATTTATATCTTTAACCTATAGCAGATTTAACTAAAGAGTGCAAGATTCTAAATGTATTATTCTATTTAGATAGGAACAACCCATCATTTGCTCAACAACTTTTTTGTCAAAATGGTACAGTATTTTAAAAACATAAAATCCAAATCGTTAAAGCTAGAAATTAGAAATACTGTACCATGTTTCTCAATTTGTGTTAATACTGCAGAATACACAAGCCTAAATACAATTTTTTATGTGTTGACTTTCATGTCAACAAAGAATGTTTACACATAGTATGCATCACACAGTGGATTAAGCATTTGGGGTGCAAATTGGGGTAAAAGGGATTGAAGCAAAAGGGTTAACAACAAGAAATAATAAATGAACCAAAGGTGCTTGACTATGGCCAAACTATCACCTCAAAAATCAGATGCATTGGTTAGTTGGTCTAATACACTACAGGCACCTATAGGCAAAAAGCAGACACATTGCTAATTAAATCAGAATTTGGTACAAAATTACCAATAAGAAATAGCACTAAGGAGCAACAAGAAAATGTTAGACTTGAGACAATATTCAGGGAGAAGTATAAAATATGTTGGTAATTTTTTTCAAATGTAACAGGATATAAAAAAAGATGAGTAAAGATAAGCGATTGTGAAGAGATATAGACAAAAGTAGACTTTTAACAAAAGAAACCATGTTAACATATAATTATAATCACAACAATAATAATAACAATAAAAATAATAATTAAAACAACAGTACTTTATCATCACAAGATAGTTCCGTAAAAATAACAGAATAACAATAGAAAGAAAATTGAAATGACACTATTAAGCATGAATTAAGTATTTTGTGGAAGAGGGAAGAAAAGGCAGTTGGAAAAAAAGTGAAGGATGAAATAAAATGCTATCAACTAATTTTACTGATTTGCACAAACATTTTTAACTTTATATACTAAATAATTATAACACCATTCTACACAAAATTTTTATGAAAATCAAAGAACAGTTGGTTTAGAAACTTAGTACACGAGACACGGCGATGTAATTAACCCAAACACAGCACACCAAACATTTACTATAAGGGGGAATAAATTGACCGAAATCAAAATGAATTGATTGCAACACCTTGGTATGGATCATCCTTTGACCTAAAGGCCACTTTGAGGTCACCTATTGCCAATGATAAAGTAAATAAAGCATGCTTTAAAATGATGATTATGCAAATTGATAATGAGTCAATCAAGTCATCAATCAAATGCAAAAAGAAAAGCATCCATTGTAATAATGTTCAAAGGCGTTCAACAAAGTTAAATTGGAACTGATGGTTTGTGTTAGCATTTGTATTGTCTTTAAAAATAGCCCCTTTACTTATCTAATGAAATTAATTGAAAAATAAATTAAATTGAGCAATTTTAACGTAGGGAACTTTTGAACTGATGGTTTGGGTTTGCTTTTGTATTGTCTTAATGTGATGTTTTTCCTTTTTGATTTTTTCTCTCGTTCTTGTTTTCCTTTTGTACAAAATACCTTAATTCAGCTTTTTGCTGCTAATGTATTTTTTTTTTATGAAGGAGTTTTTGAATAAAGATACTGGTTATATGTATAATCTATTATTTCATATTCTGGCAGTGAAAAGTGTTGTATGATTTTTTTCCTATTTTTCAGCTCATCACAATGCATCTTAAATGCAGTCTGTTTAGTGGTATTTTGAAAAAGGCAATCACTACATGCATGGTTAAGAATGTGGTGGATGATTACACACTAAAAGTTACTTTCTTACCATTTGCTTTGGGAATCATTTCCATCGACTCATGCTCATCAAATTCATCCAGAAGGCTGTATCGATGGCGTCTCTTTTTCTTCAAACAACGACTGTTAAAAAAAATTATAATTTGAGACATCTTTAAAAGTAAGAGTTTCCTTTAATATTGTGCTAAATATTCTGGAATAGAATACAAAATTGCCTCTTTTGAATTGTATTGTATTTATTATGTTAGTTCATTCTAGTTTCTCTTTAGACTTACTTTGAGATAAAGCAGACACACATCCAGATGAGTATGCTGGTGCCAACCACTACAAAGAAAGCTACGATGATTACATACAAAATGCTCCAGTCTGAAATGTGGAATACAAGTCAACTGATTAGTAGCAGGAAGGGGATTGAGTGTATCACAGTGTGTGTTACTTAGTGTGGGTGAGTGTCTTCAGGGGCGTACGGTGAAAAATCTAAGGGGGGGTCGAAACGAAAACGCAGGGGGCAAGCTGAACTCGGAGCAATTTAGCGAAGCTTTCAGAATTCGCGGGGTGCGTTATTTGTGAGTGAAGCGAGCAACTAGGCTGAAGCTAGGGGGCCGCAAAAGGAGAACAATTTACGTTTTTACGTTCTAGTGCATTAAGTTCAATACCAAGTCTGACAAAATAGGCCTAATTGTAAACGTAGTTTTTGGGCAACACCAGACTATATTCACTCAATATACCACCAGCCTATTGGATTGCGGAACTCCTGAATACGGGCTTGTGAGCATTTCAGATTAAAGAATTAAAAAAAAGGGGGTTTTTTCCTTTTTCGTGGGAGCGTCCCACTTTTAATTTTTCTTAAAAATAAAGTTATAAATGTATATACTGTATTGAAAAATAAACAATGATATAGGGAACATATAATTACTTAAAGTAACATTTTGTATGCGTTTATTTCTTAACGTTTTCCTTTCAATTTTATATTTTAATATA